CCAATGATCTAGATTCCTTACTGCGCTTACCTTTGTGCGACCGTTGGACGGAAAAAAGGGAAAAAACACTAACCATTCTTCCTTCCATTCTCTAATGTTTTCAAAATAACGCCTAAAGAATAATGAGTGCTTACGATACCAATCAGCCCGTCGAACAACCGTATGCGGGGGCTTATAGCGACTCGGCGTGGACGTCGCGGCAGCAAGAGTCCAGCCTGGAGGAGCCGCAGCGGCCGGCGACGATAAAGACGACGACAACGACAAAGATCGAGCCGAGGTCGAGCAGCTCGGGCGTCGTCGGGATGAAGCAAATGGACAGCTGGAACGTGACGCGGTTTCTCGTGTACGTGTTCACACGGCTGGTGCAGCTGGTGGTGGCCCTGGTGTGCATCGGGTTCCAGGCAGACTCGCGCAACAAGCGGCCCAGCGGCAGCGTAGACGTGACCGAGCGCAACACCGAGATCGCCGTGTACGTGGTGGCCGGGATCACCGCGGGCACGGCGCTACTGTCAATTCTACTGCACATGTTTGCCAAAACACGGCAGCGCATCGAAAAGTCGCGGATGGCGTGGTTCACAATGCTGTTCAACTTTGCAGTATTCGTTACGTGGATTATCCTGGTGCTGATCAACGTGGTGGCGGTTGATTGCTCGAGAAAGACGGACGGCACGTGGTGCCGCAGTATCAAGGCCAGCTTGGCCACGGGCCTGATCTCGGCGATGTTTTCGCTGATCGTAACGTTGCGCAGCGTCAGCGTTCTCGTCCGCACCAACCGCATCCGCGTTTAGAACCTTTTTTCCTTTTATAGTATGAAATACACCCTGACGTGCTCGCTGTATTCGGCCGAGCAGTGGGCCAGCCCCGAGTGTCTGGAGACCGGCGGCGCGCTCGAGTTTGCGTATGCGCACGACGGCGTGACGCAATGTTCGGTGCAGCACGGAACCGCGTTCCACCGGCTGCTGCTCGAAACGCAGCCGCTGCGCTGCCGGCTGGGCGCCGTGGAGTTTCCGGCGGCGCTCGGCGGAAAGCAAGGCAGCTTCAACGCGGTGCTGCACGGGCGCGGGGGCAGCTTGCTTGCGGGCGCCATCTACCCGGTGACTGACACTCCGCTGCCCGGGGGCGTCGAGGGCGTGACCACAATGCTGTTCCACCGGCGCTGGTACCAGGGCCCCACCACCGCCCGCCTGATGGCCAATCAGCGCGCCGAAGAGGAATTCATCATCTCTCCCATCGTCGCACTGATGTTTTGCGTTCTCACCGCCTGCGCCGTGTACGTGGCCGGCCGAGTGTACGTTGAGGGCACGCTGGTCCCTCGCATTCGCACAGAGTCTAAAAAGTCTGATTAACAGATCTTTAATGTTCAAATAATTTGATCAAAAAATGCTTAGCACTTGGCCGGACAGCTGTCGGCATGGCTGGCTACCTCTTCAAAGGTATAAAAGACGCTCAGGCAGTCCTGGCATAGCCAGCCGGCGTTTGACCAGACTCGACGACAATCAGCACCTATCATATTCTCAGAAAAACCCCGACGTTTTGGAATAGTATTAAAAGTCAAGGAACGTTAGGGGTTTAGAAAAAATGCAATAGCTAGTTAGAGGAGAAAGAGAACGAAGCTTCGCAAAAAAAGGGGGGTGAAAAAAGGGAAGGAGCTTATCCGGGTATTTTTTTTAAAAAAGCGGATGACGATGTACATTATTCACCAGGAAATTGGGCGTCGGAGAAAATAAATAAAGTGAGGAGTTTGGAAAAAAAAGAAGGGGTAGGGGATGGAGAGATGTATGTTGCAGAACAATGTCTGGGTTTGCAAGTGCAAAACAAGTGGCCCAGTCAACGGATTGTGTCAACTGGCCTGGAAAAAAAAGTTGTACATATACTTCACTCATACTTCACTCATTTAAACGCTCCTTTACGTCACTCACTTTGACGTCATCACGAGTTGCAGATTGAAGAAAAGGGGAAAGGGTCACGTCAGCTGGTTTTATCAAGCTCCGCGCCAAAAAAAAGCCCTCAATGTAGCAAACTCTACAAAACAGCTGCCATCGAATCCACGTCATCAACAATAACCGGCTGCGACTGATGGCCCTCGGGCACCAGCGTCAGTGCGTCCCCGTTTCGCAGCAACTCGGCCATCACCGGCTGCAGCTCAAAGCACGAGTCGAGCAGTGCGCGGCAGCCAAACACGTACAAGCCCAGGCGGGCGCGGGACAGCGCCACGGTCAGGCGGCGCAGGTCGCGCAAATGGCCGACCCGCCGCGTGCGCACCAGCGACAGCAGCACATAGTCGGCCTGCTGGCCCTGGAACTGGTCCACCGTGGACACGCGCGGCATGGGCAGCTCCGGACACCGCCGCCGCAGCACGTCCAGAAGCAGCATGCGCTGGCCGTTGTACGCGGCCAGCAGCGCCACGCGCCGCGCATCGTAGCCCTGCGCGCACATGTAGCGGAACACGGCAACGACAAACTCGGCCTCGGCCAGATTCTGGAAAAAGTGCGGCGTAGGCTCGCTCTCCCCTTGCTGCTGCTGGCCGACATTGACAAACTGGAACGCGTGCTTGAACCCGGGGTTCGGCTGGGCAAACGCGCCCTGGGCCACGTGCGGCTGCAGGTCGCCCAGCCCGCGGTAGCGGAACCGGTACAGGGCCGCGATCTCGGGGCGCGCGCGCGCCTGGCAGTCGAGCTCCACGTAGGGCACGCCCAGCCGCACCAGACGCGCAAACAGGCTCTGCTCCATGCGCGCAAACGCGCGCAGCCCGGGGCTCTGCACCACGGGCGGCAGCTGGTTGTGGTCGCCAATCAGCACCAGCCGCTTGAGCGCCGGCGCCAGCGTCAGCGGCACAAACGCCTCAATGTCGAGCATCTGCGCGGCCTCCTCGACCACCACCGTCGAAAACCGCACGCCGGCGCGCGCCAGCTCCTCCTGCCGCATTGCCGCGTGCGTGCATGTCATCGCCACAATCCGCGCCTGCCGCGCAAGCAAATAGCGCGAGCGCTCGGCGGATCCGCGCAATAGCTCAAACGGCTGCACGGCCGCCAGCTCGTCAAACATCCGCTCCAAATGCGCATAGCAGCCGGAAGCCACCGCGGCCGCGTCGCAGCCCGGCGGAAACAGCGGCCGGCCCAGCTCCGCCTCAAAGAACCGCTCAAACGGGAACACGTCCTGCTGCCCGCGCCTGTACGCCTCCCAGCGCACGCGCACATGGGCAACCAGGAAAAAGCGCGCGCTCGCACACGAGTCGCCAAACTCCCCCGGAACATCGAGCGACGCGGCCAGACGCGCCACCTGCGCAAGCAGCTCCAGCCGGCGGTCCAAAAACGACTCGATCCGGCCGGCACGCGAAAACCGCTCGTCGGCGTCCAGCTCGGCCTCGCCGTGTCCCAGGCGCAGCAGATGGCGCGGCTCGATATCCAAAGCGACGATCTTGGCAAACAGCTGGTTCAGCGCCTGGTTCGAATGCGTCACAAGCAAGATGGTCTCGCCAGGTTGCGCGTGGTACAGCGCCGACACGAGCTGCACCGCCACGTCAGTCTTGCCGGTGCCCGGCGGACCCACCACCAGCGTCAGCCCCTCACGCTGCGCCGACGCAATCGCATGCACCTGCGCCGGCGTAAACGCAAGCGCATTGCGGCGCGGCGCCTGCACATCCGAGGCCACCCAGGCCGGATCCCCCGAGCTCGCTGTCACGCGCACCACGCCGCCCGTGTCCTCGGGATACGCGACCACGCAGGTCGCGCCCTCGGCAAACTCGCCGGCCACCTCAACACTTGCGTACTGCGCAAAGCTGGCCTGCGCGTGGTCAGCGCTGACAAA